GACGTTTGCTTTTATGTATTCGGGGCAGGATATTTCCACATGCTCCAGCCTGCAGGATGCAGCTCCTTTCTGTGCATCGGGCGCAGCTTGGGGCCGGGTTGGCGGGGCCGGAGGTGGGGGGAGCCCGTAAGCCACGTACCCTTCCTCACAAACTTCAGAAAGTTGAGCCAGCTCCCTTTGCACGAAACTCGGACTGTGCGCGGGGCCGCAGATGTGCCGGACCTGGTCGCTGCGGAGGCACCTGCTCAGATGGCGGGGGCGGTTGGTTGAGATGATAGATTTGAGTTGTTTCCAGATTTTCCTGTTACAAACAGTTGTGCAGTAGTCCTCATGATACTCAGAGTAGTGTTATTTCCTCCATCTGAACACATACCCCTTCCCCAGTTTTAACATTTCTGAAATCAGGAGGCATCTTAACAGGTTAAAAGGACTTGCCAGCTGCTGGGCATGTGCGTGGGTGGGGATGTGTCTGGCGCTGTTTGGTCATGTGAAAATGCGGCTGTGTGATTATTCCATCACTTATGACACTTGAACTTTAAATTTAGATCACTACTTTTTTAAAAAAGTAGCTTAAAAGATAATGCTGTGATGCAGCATTATAACAAAACTTTATAGTAATATTTATTAAGGGTTTTCTGTATGCCTGACATTGTTTCAATTAATATTACAGCCCTATAAAGTATAATTTTATCCCCATTTTATAGATGAAGAAACTGAAGCTCAGAGAGTTGAAGTGCCTTAGAGCTTTTATTTAAAGATTTTTATTTATTTGAGAGAGTGAGAGAGAGAGAGCATGAGAGGGGGGAGGGTCAGAGGGAGAAGCAGACTCCCCGCTCAGCAGGGAGCCCAATGTGGGACTCGATCCGATCCCGGGATTCCGGGATCATGACCTGAGCCGAAGGCAGATGCTTAACCGACTGAGCCACCCAGGCGCCCTGCCTTAGAGCTTTTAAGTACAAGTGTCAGGATTCTAACCCAAGTTGTCTGATTTCAAAGCTTGCCCTCTTAACTCCAAAGCCTGTATCCAGGCAAAAGATGCTTGCAGCTTACAAGGAGGGACGTCAAGGCAGCCTCTATGCTTGTCTGTATATCTTTGGCTGTTTGTGTATGTGCGTATGGAACTGGGAGACAACCACATCCAAGAACATTGATTATACTTATTCCCACATTGATGCCAAATCTTTGTTTTTGGATCTTTTGCAGTTTAAAATATATTTCTGCAAGTTCTGGAGTTCTGGCTGTGTGGTGAGTGCTTCTGAATCCCTCTTCTGCCTTTTGCTCCTCTAGAAGAATATAGAGGCATGCACTCAAACCTATTCAACTGGCCGCCTCCTAAAAGGGCGGTACTTAATTTAAGAGAGAAGTCAATTTTTCGGAGTTAAAGTCATATCAGTCTCTAGGAGCCCCCAGCTTCTGGTACCACAGGGACACACCAAAGTCCTGAGGGCAGGAGATTGTGCTCAGAGGAGACGACACACCTGTGAAGCCTCTCAGTAGAGGTTCTGGCGGTTTTCCTCACCAGAAGTGGACAAGCCCAGTTGGGTGGGCATCGTCATGCTGCAGCAGCTCCTGATCACCCTACCCACGGAGGCCAGCACCTGGGTGAAGTTGCGCCATCCAAAGAAGGCCAAGGAGGGGGCGCCCCTGTGGGAGGACGTGACTAAGATGTTTGAAGGAGAAGGTGAGAATAGGCTGATGGAGGGGAATGGGGAAAGAAGAATTCTCAATCTGTGTGTGAAAAGATAGGTACACACTTCACTGATGTGGTCTCTTGGGGAGAAAATTGGGGGGAAGCAGGTCTTTGGGGTTCATGCTTATGGCTTTTGGGAAGGGGTTAGTGATGAGAGGAAATGTTAGGCTCTCAGCATGGACTCCTTGTGCCATGTGCGCATGCTGCTCCCGTCTCCAGTCCTCAGGTACAGCCCACAACAGTGTTCCCCACCAGTGGCTCCCAAGTATACGGGATTCACAGACAGTGAGGTCAAAGGTTTCCACTCCCTAAAGCCCTCCCAAGGGCTTCCTTCATAAGTTTTGGTCATTTTGGCCCAAAGCCAGTGTTTTTCAAAAGGAACCGTTCTTTTCTTCAGAGAAGAAGGAATGACGTGCTTGATGACTCTCAATTTACAGGCGGTCAGTGGGAAAGATGTCCAGGTTTACACATTATCTGGTGGTCTGTTCAGGACAGATGGACAGAGGAATTTGTGTGTCTCATGCGGTCTCTTAGTTCATACCTTTAACACTTCAAGTCCAGCTGATATCTCTTCTAGCTGTGTCAGGCAGGGACCTTGCTAAGCATCTTCACCGATTGAAAAATGAATGATGATCTCCCATGCTTATTATTAATTGATGGAGATAGACACATATCCAGATCAAAATAATAGAAGGTAGCTTAAGAAAATGCTATGGTAAACTTCTTTTTGAAGACGAGACAGGAAACATTCTTCTGATTGTATTTATTGGACATATTTTCACAAAGCAGATAGCATTGAATTGGGCCTTGAAAGATGTCTAAGTTTTTTGTAGAAGATTTGGGGAAAGGGTACAGAAATGAGTGCCTTGAAGAGTGGTTCAGAAATGGGGAATATGGGGAATATCCTGGTCTAACTGAGGGCTAAGAATGTGGTCAGTGTGTGTGTAGGATGGATAAAGGATGGTGGAGAGCAGAAACGAATGCTGGGAAAGGATGCTTCAGGCGAGTTGTAGAGCACCAAAGCGTTTGGATTTTTCTTTCTTGTCAGAAACCTTTGAACAGAGGAGTGGCCTAGATCTGTGCTTTTGGACCAGCGTTGACCATTGGGAAGTGTTAATGCCCAAAGCAACGCACTGCAGACCCTCCTCATTAAGGAGGTTCCAACTGCTCTGAGTTGCTCTAAATGTTCCTCTCTCTGAATGTTTTGAGAGAAAAGCCATGTTCAGTAGATCTTCAGGCAGTTTTTCTGTTTGAGAGATTTGGGGAAACGCAAACCTCATAATTCTTTCTTTTCTTTAGTGCGGCTCTCTCAGGATGTTGATGAGACCCAGGAAGAAAGTTTGAAGGATGAAGTCACATCTGGGTCCCCAGCAGCAGAATCCCAGGTGGGTTGGTTTCCTTTCATTTTCTTGACATGCTGTTTGGTTTTTAAGGCTTTAACTTTTTTTTTTTCTTTTAGTGTGGGGCGGTGTTGGGGCCAACAGGTTCAACATAGGGAGCTCAGTGCAAGCTGCTCTTATACGGAAACCTGGGCTGCAGTGGTGGCCATTCCCCTACTCATGGTGGCCTCCCTCCTATTAACTCTTGTTTGTGACCAACATCTAGATTTAACGCTGTGCTGATTTCCGTAGAGAAAGCAAAATGAGTGATAGAGTTCTAGTCCCTAAAAACAAACACATAACCACTTGGAGTCTAAGATGTACATCAATTTTTTTTTTTTTTTGAGTATTTTATACTCAGAACAAACTTTGTTGAGGGAGAAGAAGGTCCTGACATTCTTAAGTGCTGAACACATATCACTGGTGAACTTCCTGCAGTGACCCTTAGTATAGTATTGGGAGCAGAGGTCAAACTGCAACTGAAGAAGTGAATGGGGAAGAAATGATCTGGCCACACAGCACACACGTTAGACAGGATGGGCAGTTCTCATGGGCTGTCCTCACTGCTGCCTGGAAGCATAGGAGAAACAGGAGGAAAGTTGTAGAATGAGTGAGAAAGGAAGACGATTAAAGATGAGCTGTTATTCGATGACACAGAGTTTTAAGTGAAAAGAACTTGGGTTCTGAAGTTAGATGGTACAGGATTTGAGTTTATCTCTTGTCTTTATTTGCTTGGTGATTGGGGCAGTTTTTTCTAGCTGTTTACAATGCCACTTTCCTAAGCTGATTCAGATGCTGATTCCTTCTAGGATTGAAATGCATTTCAAAGTTACTTTCAGCAATAGGGAAGAAGTTATAATAGTCTAACTATTTAAAGAGTTATCTCTACATTCCACTATCTGGAATTCCTCACCTCTTGACATTTATCAAAAACTGATGGGATTCTTAGTGCTGGGAAAAGATTAAATTTTTTAAAAATTGAGGTACAATTTAAATATAGGAAAATACACTTAAGAAAGTGTATAGTTCTATTTTGGCATATATATATATACACCCTGTAACCAAATATAGACCATTTCCACCATCTCAGAAAATTCCCTCATGCCCCTTTCCAGTCAAAACTTTGCTTTGTTCCCAGTAGAGAGTACATGGGATCTCTGTTTTTTCTTACAACTGTATGGGAATCTATAATTATCTCAAAATAAAAAGTTTTAAAAAGAATTTATATTTTGTGGTTGGTAGGTATAGTGTTCTATAAATGTCTTGTTAGTTTATGTTGGCTGATAGGTTGTTCAAATCTGAATCCTTGATACATTTTTGTCCACTTGGATCAATTACTGAGAAAGGAGTGTTAAAATCTATATTGTGGTTTCATCTATATCTCCCTTTAGTTCTGTCAACTCTGCTTTATTTTAAGTTCTGTTATCAGATGCATTAATGCGTAGGATTGTTGCCTTCTTGATGAACTGACAGTTTATGAGATGTCTCTTCTTTATGGCTAGTAATATTCCTTCTCCTAAGTCCGCTTTGTCTGATTTACTGTAGTTCCTCCAGTGTTCTTTTAGTTATAGTTTGTGTGGCATAGCTTTTTCAGTTCTTTTGCTTTTAACCTTATCTGTGTCTTTATATTTAAAGTGTGACCTTACATATAGCCATGTCTTGCTTGTTTTGTGCATTTACAGTTACCATACTCACTGATACAGTGGGATTTAAGTGTGTATTCTTGTTCTTTGTTTGCTGTTCACCCATCTTTGTTTCTTTGATCCTCTTCTGCGTCCTCTTGGATTGCATAGTTTTTTAGTATTCCACTTTATGTCCTCTGATGGCCTTTTAGCTATACTTGTTTGATTTGCTTTTAGTGGTTGTTCTGGCCATTACAATACAGGTTTTTAACATATCACAGTTGAATTAATGTTACACTGTTTCACATATGGTATGAAAGCCTCATATTTCCATTTATTCTTTCCCATTCTTTGTATATTGTTATCATACATTTCACTTTACATGTTATAAGCCCCACAGTACATTGTTCTTATTTTTATTTTTTTATTTTTAAAAAAGATGTATTTATTTATTTTAGAGAGAGAGACTGTGCACGTGTGAGCACGCAGGGGGAGGGGCAGAGGGGGAGAGAGAATCTCAAGTAGGCTCCCCATTGAGAGCATACTCACCTCTTATTTTTATTTTTAATAGTAAATTGTTTTTAAGAAATTAAGAAAAGGAGGGGTGCCTGGGTGGCTCAGTCGGTTAAGCGTCGGCCGTCAGCTCAGGTCATGGACCCAGGATCCTGGGATTGAGCCCCATGTTGGGCTCCTTGCTCTGCAGGGAATCTGCTTCTCTGTTTCCCTCTGCCCCTCCCCCAACTCATGCCTACACACACATGCTCTCTCTCTCAAATAAATAGATAAAATCTTTTAAAAAAAAATTAAAAGGAAAAAAAAAAACCCCAAGTCTTTTCATATCCATCTACATAATTACCAATACAGGCCCTCTTCATTCCTTCTTTCAGTTCCAAATTTCTAACTAGCATCATTTCCCTTCACCCAGAAGAATGTTGTTTAGCATTTCTTGTAGTGTGGCTGTTCTGACGGATTCTCACAGCTTTTGCTGATCTTAAGATGTCTTTCTGTTGTCCTCCTACTTGAGAATCTTTTGCTGGATATAGAACTCTAGGGTGACTTTTTTCTTTTAAACACTTAAAAGTGTTCCACGATGCTTTAGCTTGTACTGTTTCGAATGAGAAGTCAGCTGTTACTATTCTGTCCCTCTAGGTGACATATCTTTCTGTTTGTTTATACCAACTTTTCTTGTGTTTCTGTTCCTCCTTTCCTACCTTCTTCTGGCTACTGTCATGATCTTCCCTTTTGTCTTTGCTTTTCAGCAGTTTTAGTACAATGTTCTCAGGGATGATTTTCTTTGAATTTATTCTTTTTGAGATTTGCTGAGCTTCTTGGATCTGTGGCTTGATTTTTTTTTTCCCAAATTTGGAAAATTTTCAGCCTTTATTTCTTATTTTTTTCTGCCCATTCTTTTATCTCCTTCTGAGATTCTAAATACATGTATATTAAATCACTTGGTATTATCCTGGGTTATTTTTTTTTTCCTCCTGGCGCTTCAGTTTGAATAATATATATTGACCTGTCTTAAGTTTCACGGATCTCGTCTTTGCCAGGGTTCAATCTGCCACTAAGTCCGTTCAGTGGATTTTTCAGGTATTGTATTTCTCATTTGTAGAATTTTCTTTTAGTTCTTTAGCATTCTTTCTCTTCCTCAATTACCCCATGTTTTCACCTAGTCTGTCCTTTTCTTTCTTTCTTTCTTTCTTTTTTTTTTTTTGAATGAGAGAGTGAGCAGGGGGCAGGAAGGGGCAGAGGGAAAGGGAGAGAGAGAGAGACTCTCTCAAGCGGGCTCCACGCCCAGCACAGAACCTGACATGAGGCTTGATCTCATGACCTGAGATGAAATCAAGAGTTGGATGCTTAACCGACTGAGCCACCCAGGTGCCCCTCTATCCATACTTTATTGTAAATTTTTTAACATATATTTTAATACTTGCTTTAAACTTCTTGTCTGCTCATTCCAATGACTTGGTCACCTCTGGGTTTGCTTCTATTGATTTTTATTTTCTTCTTTATAGATCGGATTTCCTTCTCTTTTACACGTGTAACAGTTTTATATAGTAGTTCAGATACTGGGTATTAAAGAACATTGGGGGATGAAATATAGTTTGTTTGTTTAGCTCTGTTTATTTCCAGGTGACTAAGCCCTTTCCTCTGTCTGGTGGTTAAGGTGAGGGACTGATTATTCATATTCCCCCTAGAGCCGTGGCTGAGCTCTGGCTGAGATACAGCTTTTATTTGATTCAGTTCATTTCTGATTAACCCAACTACAAAAGCCCATGCCACCATAGCTGGAGGGGCGGGGGCACTGATCTTTTTTAGCTCTTCGGGTATTTGAGCTAGGTTGGGGTTAGACCACAGTTCCAGACAGTTTTGTTCATCTTTGCATTAAACTCCAGTGGGACCCCCAGAATTTAAGCTCAGCAGGAATGCATTGGTTGCTTGACAATAAGTGCTGAAAGCCTTCCGCCCCTACCCCCAGCCTCTGTAATCTCATCTCCTACTCCTTCCTTTGCCACCCTTCACCAGTGATGCTGTTCATTCTCCTGTTCCTCAGACAAGCCAAGGATGCTCTCACTTTAGGTCCTTTGTACCTGCCTGGAATGCTCTCCCCTCAGATTTCCACATAGCTCTGCCTCACTGAATTCATGTCTCTGATCAAATACCACCTTTTTAGAAAGGCCTTCCCCTACCACCCTGCATATAAAAGATCCTTCTCTCCCCTCACTGTGTTCTCCATGTTCTTCCCTTATCCTGCTTAATTTTTTTCTAAGGCACATATGACCATCTGTTTTTCCAAATACTTATTTCTGATAATCTCTAAAGGATTTTTAAACACACCCAGAGGAGGTTCCCAGTAAAACTAGTTTAGAATCTCTCAAAACTTAGAATTCTGTCAGAGCTCCTTGGACCTTGATGGAGGTGGTCTCTGTCTGAAAAGTAATATATTCAATATTCTAGGGACTGTTGACCTTCAAGGACATATCTGTGGACTTCACCCAGGAGGAGTGGGGGCAACTGGCCCCTGCTCACCGGAATCTATACCGGGAGGTGATGCTGGAGAACTATGGGAACCTGGTCTCCGTGGGTAAGGATGGCAAAACATTCATCCAGGAAACCTGCCCACTATAGGAGAGTCCTTATTTCTAAATTATTAAATGTTGTCTGGAGCTTGACCTTGGGTTCTGTATTAGAGATGTCTCATTCCTTGGGGGAACAGCTTTACTTGGTAAAGCTAGAATAGAAAGACATTCTGTGGTGCCCCTTTCCATCTTCAGAGACCCTGAATATCAGAGGACTAGAACGAAATTCTGGGGATAGTTCTTAGAACTCAGCGTAACCATTCATGCTTTTTTTTTTTTTACTTTATAAGCAGGATACCAACTTTCCAAACCTAGTGTGATATCCCAGTTGGAGAAAGGACAAGAACCATGGATGACAGAGAAAGAAGGCCCAGGAGATCCCAGTTCAGGTGAGACCAAGACAGGTAGTACATTTTAGTATGTAGGCCAGAGTCCCTGAAGTCTTCCCCCCAGCCCCTGGACAGGGCATGCGCTAAACCTGACTTAACCCTTCCCTCCGTCACCCCTTTCCTTCACCTGACCTTGCAAAAGTCTCTCCACAGTTGGAGGGAAGGAATTTTGTCTTCATTAAGGTTAAACTTGACTTTCCCTCTTTTCTTCAGTATGCTGAACTCTGAACTGAAAGCTCCTTTCTCTAAGCAGTCAGATGTACATGGTCTCTCCTCACAGAAAACACATCTCTTTTCAGGACTCTCACTGCATTTGACAGATCTTTAATTTTCTCTCTTCCATTCTATTTCCACTTTTTGCTAACTTCCATTTTACAATTTCAGCTTTGATTCTCAGTCTCTTTTAAACTCATGTATCTTTTGTATTTTTTGTAACAACTAGATGAAAATTCTTGCAAGAGAAATTACCACAAATTCAATGGTCTTTATCCATGTCCTTAAATTTTGCTTTATTATGAAATATTTTAGGTGTTCAGTAAGGCATAGAGAACATTAAAACAAACTTCTATGTAGCTTCCAACTAGATTAAGAAAAGAAAGAGTTGAAGCCCTGCTGTTACCCTCCTACTTTTTGAAATAACCAGCTTTTCAGAGTTTAAATATTGTCATTTTCACAATGTCTTCATACTTTCATTACATGTGTATATCCCGAAACAATATATAGTATTGTTTTGCATGTTCTTATTCTTTAAATAAATGGTGTATATACTTCTACTTGCTTTTCTCATTCAACATGGTTGAAATCTATGTTCTAGTTCTTTTATTTCCATTGAATTAATAAACCACAATTTATCCATTTTCCTATTAATATACATTTATATTGTTTCTAAGGTTGGGGGTTACCAAGATGCAGTGTCTTCCTGTATACATATGCAAGTATTTCGAGATGTTTGGTGGAAGCAAAATTGTTGGGTCATGGTGTATATGCACCTTCATTTTGCTGGAGATTACCAACTTGCTCTACAAAGCAATTGCACCAATTTGTCCTCCCATCAGCAAGCCGTAAGAGTATCCAGAGCTCAGCATCTTTGTCAACACTTGGCCTTGTCAAACTTTAAAATTATTGTAGGGGCGCCTCGGTGGCTCAGTCAGTTGAGAATCCGACTCTTTATTTCAGCTCAGGTGAGGATCTCGGGGTCGTGGGATCAAGCCCCATCTCAGGCTCCACGCTCAGTGTGGAGTCTGCTCCAGATTGTTTCTCTCCCTCTGTCCCTACCCCTCAAATAAAGAAATAAAATCTTTAAAAATAAATAAATTGAAAATAAAAAAATAAAATTATTGTAAATTTGTGGGTGAATTTGGTATCTTGTTGTTTCTTTCATTTTCCTGATTACTAGCAAGAGGAGCATACTTTTCATGTTTATTGACCATCCAGAGTTCTCTTATGTAAATTGTTTATATCCTTTGCCAATTGCTCTATTATTATCTTTTTTCTTGATTTATAGAAAAATTGATGTAATATATATTATCTTACATTTTTAAGATTTGGCTTTTCATATTTAGAGTTAATTCATCTGGAATTTCTAGCCCTACTCTAATGGCAAGTTAATTACTGTGTTTCATAGTGAGGTGCATGTCTGGTAGAGGTAGTTCTCCCACTTTGTTCTTCAAAATTGTCCTGGTTATTCTTAGCCTCCTGCTTTTTCCATACAAATGAGTGCATCAAATTTCACACCCACACACATATACACGTGCGTGTGCGCAAATACTCCGGTGGTATTTTGATTGGAATAGAATTGTATTTATAGATCAACTTTGGGGGGAATTAATATTATGATACTGAGGTTTATTATTCCAGAAACATGGTATATTGCTCCATTTATTGGTATTTCCTAACTTTTTTAAAAATAAAGTTTCAGAATTTTCCCTATAAAGGTCTTCTTCATATTACATCCCCTTTTAGGTTCATCTTGAAGACCTTATATTTTCCTATTGTAGATACTGTGTGTGTGTGTGTATTTAAGATTTTATTTATTTGACAGAGAGGTAGAGAGAGCACAAGTAGGCAAATGGCAGGCAGAGGGAGAGGTAGAAGCAGGCTGTCCACTGAGCAGGGAGCCCGATGTGGGGCTTGATCCCAGAACCCTGGGATCATGACCTGAGCCGAAGGCAGATGCTTAACCGACTGAGCCACCCAGGCGCCCCAATAGTATATATTTTTAAATTATGTTTTCTGTTTGTTGTTGGTGTGTAATAGCACATTAGATTTTATATATTGATCTTATAGCTAGCCACCTTGTTTCACTCCATTATTAATTCCAATAATTTGTTTATATATTCTCTTGGGTTTTCTCTTTTTCAACTTAAAATAATGAAAATAATAAAAGCTACCATGATTTTCATCTAGATGGTCCAGTCAGTCCCTTTAAATAATAAGAACAGTCTGATTTTAGTAAAATGTTTAGTTTCGTGCAATAACAAAAAATCTCAACTTCATTCAAAGTTAAATCTTTTCTTCAAAAGTTTGGTTCTTCTTCAGGCCTGGATACTGAATTGGGAAGGGGGCATAGATGGTGGCTTCTTCTCTCTTTCCCTGTCCTCTTCTCTTCCCCCTCCCATATTCAGGACTAGAATCAGAAGCCTACAGAGCATAGACTCTATTATTGCCTTTACTCATTAGGAATTTGTAAGTACTAATGATCCTTTTGTGCTGAACAAAAAATCTTACAAGAAGTTAGACCTTTCAGGATACAGATCTGTCAGTTGAAATACTGGTAATGGGTACAACAAATTATCAAGTAAAAAAGCCAGTCAGAATTTTAAAGGATAAAAGATATTTTCTGGGGCACCTGGGTGGTTCAGTCAGTTAAGTGTTCGACTCTTGATTTTGGCTTAGGTCATGATCTCAGTGTTGCGAGATTGCGCCCTGCTGGGCGTGGAGCAATCTTAAGATTCTCTCTCTCCCTATTCCTCTGTCACTCTCCTCCCCCCTCAAAAAAGGTAAAAGATATTTTCATAGAACATAGCAATAATAGCAACATAGTCTGGGTTTCTTACAAGTCTCCTTTCTAGGGACAGACTAATAACCACAGAAAATAGAACAATGTAAATATTAATATAAGTTTCAATAAAAGAGCTTAATGTTTTTATGAAAGTTCTTAGTTTAGACCTTATTTTTTGAACGAGCATCTCCTCCTGCTGCTGGTGTGGGGAGAGGGACATCTTTTTATCTTTCTGATATTGTTTTCCAAAAGTGGTTGTCAATTAAAAACATATTCATAAGACATAGCTCTGAAATTTAATTATTTAGTATTAGAAAGAACAGGTCTAAAGTGCTCAAATTTTACTCTCTATATAAAATCACACATTTTCCTTATTTAACTGTTTCTTAACTTCCCATTACCTCCCCTGTGGTTGCATAACCATATTTAATTGTGCAGTTGACCCTTGAACAACACTGGTTTGCACTGCATGGGTCCACTTATATGTGGATTTTTTACAGCACTATAAATGTATTTTTTCTTATAATTTAACATTTTCTCTTTATTGTAAGCCTGTAGTATATGATATATATAACATAAAAAATGTGTTAATTGACTTATCAGTAAGGCTTCTAGGCAACAGTAGGCTATTAGTAGTTAAGTTTTGGGGGGAGTCAAAAGTTATACATGGATTTTTTACCGTGTTGGGGTTGGTATCCCAACCCCCATGTTGTTCAAGGGTCAACTCTAATCAAAATCTCGTACTTTATATGTATGTTATCTAAATTTCTGTCTTACTCATTACAATAATTGATTTTTTAAAGCATAATGGATATGAGTTATTTGCATTTTTCCATTTCTTTCAGACTTGAATAAAACAGAAGCCAATGGATCAACTGCAAAGAATGACATTTTACAGGAACAGTTATATCATGGCATTATGATGGAAGGGTTCCTGAGAGATGATGTCATTTATTCCACACTGAGAAAAGTCTCTAAATATGATGGTGACTTAGAAAGGCACCATGAAACCCATGGGAAAGATGTAAGACAAGCCGTCCTGACCCACAAGAAGAGTGGCCAAGAAACTAACAAATTTGGGGAAAATATTGTCAGTTCAAATGTGGTTATAGAGCAGAGGCACCATAAATGTGATACATCTAGAAAGAGGAACAAATACAAATTAGACTTGATTAATCATCCAAGTTACATAAGAACAAAAACCTATGAATGTAATATATGTGAAAAAAACTTCAAACAACCCATTCATCTTACTGAACACATGAGAATTCATACTGGTGAAAAGCCTTTCAGGTGTAAGGAATGTGGAAGGGCCTTTAGTCAAAGCGCATCCCTGACTACACACCAGAGGATCCATACCGGCGAGAAACCCTTTGAATGTGAAGAATGTGGCAAAGCCTTCAGACATCGCTCATCTCTTAATCAGCATCACAGAACTCACACTGGAGAGAAACCCTACGTATGCGATAAATGTCAGAAAGCTTTCAGCCAGAACATTAGCTTGATCCAACATCTGAGAACTCATTCTGGGGAGAAACCCTTTACGTGCAATGAATGTGGGAAAACCTTCCGACAAATTAGACACCTTAGTGAACATATAAGAATTCACACTGGGGAGAAGCCCTATGCATGCACTGCGTGTTGTAAAACCTTTAGTCACAGAGCATATCTGACACATCACCAGAGGATCCATACTGGGGAGAGACCCTACAAATGTAAGGAATGTGGGAAAGCCTTTAGGCAGAGGATACACCTTAGCAACCATAAAACTGTTCATACAGGAGTGAAAGCATATGAATGCAACCGCTGTGGAAAAGCCTACCGGCATGATTCATCCTTTAAGAAACATCAGAGACACCACACTGGAGAAAAACCTTATGAATGTAATGAATGCGGAAAAGCCTTCAGCTATAATTCGTCACTTAGTCGACACCATGAGATACACAGGAGGAATGCCTTTCAAAATAACATGTGAAAGTAGATTATTCAACATGAGAACAAAAGCCAGCTCTAGATCAGTGATTCTGTTTTTAAATTCCAGGATTTTAAATTTGAGGAATTGATATCATGATGCCAGCTTTTAATCTTGCCCAGTATGTAAATAAACAGTGCATTGATAACTACTATCCACTAACACCTCCGTACAAAGTACTCAATCAAGAATAAAGGATGGTTCTTCAAATTAAATTCAGCATAATGGAAACTGCACACATAATTGTTACCTTTCTGATTTCATGGTGGATTACTTATTCTCCGTGGGCATTCACTCATTTATAGACTAACAATTGGGAAGAACTGTCAAAAATATCACCACCCCTATTTTTTAAGTAAACTTTTATTATTATTTTTTTAATGGGGAAACTTAAAAATGGTGTAAGGCTCAAAAGGCATAGTTGTATAAGTGAAAAATCCTTTTCCTACATTCCCCCCACCACCAAATTTTTTATAGAGGCAACCACTTTATGCGCCCTTCCAGAGATTTTTCTGTTTGTATCCAAGAGAATACAAACACAGAGTTTTTCTTTTTAAGCAAAAATGGCAGCCTCCTTTGTAAACACATCTGCACATTACTTTTATTAACCATATATCATGAAGATCATTCCATATTTGTAAAGTGCCTACTAACTGTTTTTTTACAACTGCATAATATCCTGTGGTTTGTACTTTATTTAGCTAGTTCACTATGGATGGACTTTTGGATTTCCAGTCTTTTGTTGCAATGAATAGTCTTAACATTTTTTTTAACTTCTCTCACATGTAAGTATATATGTAGGGTAAATTCCGAGAACTGGAATCTCTTACTAGAGGGTGTGTGCATTTTTATGATGGATATTGCCAAACTGGCCTTCATAGAGAGGTTGGACCAACTTATTTTCCTATCAGCAAGATAGAGAACTGTAGGAGCTGCCTGATGCTGAAGCATGTCCTGGACCAACTGCCCTTTCAATCATCACTGTTTGTCTCAGTAACTTAGCATAGAGGTACCAGCTGAGCTGCATCCCCAGGAAGAGGGGTGCTTGCCATTCTTGGAGCCAGAGAGGAATCTGCATCTTCCTGAACAGCAGCCAAGCCCACCAAAATCTCAGCTGGAGAAGGAGAAACTCTTTCTCCACCAACTGCTCCAGTCCCTGACTTCTGAGGCTAGAGCTGCCCGATCAATGAGAGTCCCTTTAAGGAGACCAATACACTTAGCAAGTAAAATTTTGGCTGCAGCCCGTCTGATGGAATGGAGGAACACTGACAATTGAGTCAGGGTACTTAGATGGCAGGGTGTCCCATGGATGATCAACCACACAGCCTTTTACAGGATGGTTATGTTAGCAAGTTACAGTTAACACATGGAGGAAGACAGAAAAGAGGTAGGGTGTGACTTTCTAATAAGCATTAATGAATGAATGAGAGCATTAATTAACATTGCTTATGTTGTGAAAGCTGGGCACCAAGACTAGGACCACATGGTTTTGTACATGTTCATTTTTCAATCTGGTAAACATTTATTACAGTTTTAGTGATTCTGTAAAATGGTAATGGATTTCCCGATTTCCATCCCACAGCCACTACTCCAGTTATAAACCAAAGCCTGGCACCTAGATCCTCCATTGTAGCTGGTGCTACTTTAGAGTTCCATCTCCCATTTTCCTCTTTCCTGTGTGGGCTCTGACTAAGCTCAGTAGATTAGTTGAGACTCTGGTCAAATAACACAAATCATTTGGGGGCAATTTAAGTCTCAAAAGTGGGGGTGTTATTAGAGGGATATTGGGGTATCCTGTAATTCATGGGCTGCAACACATTCTAACAGCAGACTGGTACTAGGACCTGAAGCACTTGAGAAAACCCAGGCAGCTTTCTCTCCATCTCTCACCTGTGCTTTTTATGGTTTTTTTTTAACACCTTGTAGCAAATCACAGTTACCATCAACTCCAGATTTTATATATATTGTTTCCATCACCCAGAAAACAGATACTGTCTTCTCTTTATTACTTCCTATCTTAAAATCCTAGGGAAGGTCTCTTATTGGCCCTGCCAGGTCAGGTGCCCACCTCTAGGTAGGCAGAGAACTTCTGTGGGAACCATGTGGATGGTGTGAATTGGGTTGGGGGGGGGTGTCTGGAGGGGCAAGAGAGCAGAAAGCGTTACTGTTCATAGAATTCCAGATCCTAACTCACTTTTTGACAACAGCTCATAGGATCAGAATTTTAGAACTGGACAGGGTCTAGGAATTCACTTAATTAGAACTCCTCACTTTAGGGACATCTGGGTGGCTCAGTCAGTTAAGTGTCTGCCTTCGGCTCAGGTCATGATCCCCGGGTACTTGGATTGAGTGCTGCATTAGGCTCCTTGCTCATCGGACACCCTGCTTCTCCCTCTGCCTGCCACTCCCCCTGGTTGTGCTTTCTCTCTCTGACAAATAAATAAAATCTTAAAAAAAAAAACACCAAACCTCACTTTATAGATGAAGAAACAGAGTCCCCCTTAATTATTCATGTCCTTTACTTGAGTTGTATTTTTGAGCATTTTTTCTCCAGGTTTGGCTTAGCTTTCCAAACACCTGCCCTTAATGGCTACACAAAGCTGTTCTTTGCCATTCTAAGTTTTATTTCTTAGATCTGCTATTGCTTCAGGAGGTCTTAATAACTTTAGAGCCCATCCATTGGTTTTGCCTATTTCCACCTGTTCCTTCTTTCTGGTTATCTTACAGGCACTTCCTCTGCTGATCACATAAATGCTCTTCCCAGGGCACCTGGGTGGCTCAGTCGTTAAGCATCTGCCTTAGGCTCAGGTCAAGATCCCAGGGTCCTGGGATGAAGCCCCGCATCGGGCTTCCTGCTCTGCGGGAAGCCTTCTCCCTCTCCCAATCCCCCTGCTTGTGTTCCCTCTCTCGCTGTGTCTCTCTCTGTCAAATAAATAAAATCTTTTAAAAAAATAAATGCTCTTCCCCGGGGCTATGTCCTTAGGCATGGTCTTTTCTCAAGCTACACATTTTGTCTGATATTTTAACCTCTCAACACTTTTTAAATCTACATCTCTACCTTAGGAATCTCTCCTGAACTCCAGAACATTATAGTCAACATCTTACTGAATATCTCCATTTGGATATCCCATAGTCACCTCAAAGTATGTCCAAAACTCAACTCATAATCTTTTCAATGAAATCTGTACCCTCAATCCAGGGAGTGGTACCACCCTCTATCCAATTCTCCAGTTTAAACTTCCTCCCCTTCTCATCCATCACCTCCCTCAGTCACTAAGTCCGATATACTCCATTTGGGATGTCTTCACTATCTTCCTCTCCATTCCCATTGTCAGTTCTTTAATTAGGCTGTTAGCACATCCTAACTGCTTAAATAGGGTTCCAACTGGTTTTTCTATAATCTGGACTCATCTTTTTTTTTTAAGTTTGTTATTAATTGGTTCTATTTTCTGTATAAATTTAAGTACATAAAGATTTATTTCCACAGGCCTCGGGAAATGGGTCAAAGACACGGGACAGTCTCTTCCCACCAAAAAAGTTGCATATTTTGGTAAGTGTCCTAGAGAGAAAAACTGTAATTTACCTTAGCATTGCTGTGCAAGATTCTTACATAAGACCTAAAACCAGGCCACGGTGGAGATTTTCATCCTTTGTTCAGGTGCCCAGACAGAAACCAAAAGCAGTTGAGCATGACGGGGCAGCGGAGGTAGTGAAGGTGGAGGACAGGCACCTAGCACGGAAGGAGGAAGGAATTCCAGATTCCTTGGAATGGTGTGTTTTCCTTTTCTTGTTTTTCTTTTCTTTTCTTTTCTTGTTTAAGTCGTCTCTATAGGAAGGTGCTGGGCAGGGATCCCAGTGAAAGGAAGGGGCCAAGACTCCTTAAACTGGCCTGGGTGCAGGGCACTGCCGCAGCGGCTCACACAGGAGAACCTACTCTCTCAGGTTCAAGCAGACCCAGGACAGAATGCAGAATAAAAGAAACACTTACGGGAAACAATTTTTCTTGGAATGCTAGCTGGCCAAGCTTCAGCCTTTGGTCCAGTGCAACCCCTGCCTCACTTGTCAACAGTGAAAAACTAGTTTGGTTAGAAGAATCAGCTACAATCACACCAGCCTCTGCTAACTTCATGCTCATTGTTAGAAAAAGATGAACTTGTGTGAACATTCTGATCTGTTAATCCTTGGGGTCTGCTTTATTCTTCCCAAAAGGCTGTTGGTCAAATAGCCCACAAAGGCTGAAAGCTTAAACACACCAGTCCTGGTGTGCGGTTCCTTAAGAATGGACTGGCGGTGTGGTTGAGCCGATAGGGAAAAGATGAACTGACCTGCTCTCCCGCCCCCAATCTAGGTATATTTCAGCGAAGGCAGTGCTTCTCAAAGCAGAGAAGCAGTTTAAGAGCAGAAAGATAGAGGAAATCTAGAAAAGAACCGTCTTGATACAGATTTATCCCATGGTGTGAGGGAGAGGGCAAAGGACCCAGTGGCACTTTGCTTATCCAGCAATTTCATCACTGTGGTGACCAACTTCTGCCCATTCCATTGGGTCTTGAACTGCTCAGGGCCTGGGAATTTATTAAAGTCACTGCCTTCTGCAGGAATGAGGAAATTCATCTCAGAAGATTTGGCACTGGGGTGCCTGGGTGGCTCAGTCAGTTAAGCATCTGCCTTCGGCTCAGGTCATGATCCCAGGGGTCCGGGGATTGAGCCCAGAGTCAGGCTCCCTGCTCAGCGGGGAGTCTGGCTCTCCCTCCCCCCTACCCCAATCCCCTGCTCATTCTTTCTCTCTCTCAACTTTTAAAAGAGAAAGTTTGGCAGTAACTATCTTGCAATCCAGGGAATTCTTGCTTGGCATGTGGCAGCCGTCTGTTTTGTTGATGAAAATGGTTGGCACTTTACCCATTACCTGAACTTTGACATCCCTACTATTGATTATCTCCATAATGCCTACCATGTCATCAAACACCAGACCAAGTTTCTTAGTTATCTACTGTAATGGAGTTAATTTTGTCCTTGATTTGCAATGTCATATTCACACACTTGTATATGTAAGCCACCTGTTTCAGCTCTGTGTCATCAATCACCAGGCTG